ACATCTGGAAAATGTGCCTTGCTGGTGCATCTTTCCAAAACATCAACAATAAGTTGCTCAGATGAGCCAAAAAGTTTCTTCCTTGCTATCTCTCCCCTCCGCTGCAAATGAATGCAATGTGTACAGCAATACTACCGAAAACCTCCCCTCCTCACTCTTACACAATTGTGCTTGAAACACAATCAGAAAAATTGAGCCAAGGAAACCATCCAGAGATTTGGCTTTTATTTAAGTTGCTTTATTTGTGGGGGGGAAAAATGATAATAATAATGCTGTGCCCATGACTTGGTCCTCAGGAGTTCCAACAACGTTATCCGCCACCTTAATTTCAACAAAATTCTCTACAAAATGTCTATGGAGATCTTCAATCATCCAGGTCGTGGTTGTCCCAAAGGTGGTTTTTCCAAAAGGCAACTGGACTTTCTTGGTTTTTTTTTTTTCCTTTGAAAATGTTCATTTCTCATCCAAAAAGCTTCTTCTGAATCGAGGAAGCTTCTTGGATGAGAAGCAAAAGGTTTTCAAAGAAACAACCAAGAAAGTTCAATTGCCTTTTGGAAAAACATTTTCTCTAGAAAATGTTGCTTTAAGCTATGAGATCTACGTGCACTACAAGTCAGAAGACATAAAGAAGAAAGGGTCAACTTATTGTCCAAAGCAACTGAAGGCAGAATGAGAAGCAATGGATGGAAATGAATGTAGGAGAGAACCAATCTAGAAATAAGGAGAAATTTCCTGACAGAATAATTAATTGGTGGAATGGCTTGCCTTCAGAAATTGTAAATACTCCATCACTGGAGGTTGTTAAGAAGGTAGTGATGGCTAACCTTTTCAGCATGGAGTGCCCAATGCGGATGTGTGCACACCCCCAAAATGCAATGTGCGTGCATTTCCCCCATGCATGTCCCCCACCCCCACACATGCATACATGTCCCCTGTGCATGCGTGGCAGAGACCCGAAGACCAGTTGGCCGGTGGGAGGTGCACATGCATGCACGGTGGAGCTGAGCTGGGGCGACGGCTCGTGTGCCCACAGAGAGGGCTCTGCGTGCCACTTCTGGCATGTGTTCCATAGGTTCACCATCACGGGAATAAGGTCTCCTGCTTGAGCAGGGGGGTTGGACTAGAAGACCGCCAAGGTCCCTTGCAACTCTTCTGTGATTCTGCTACAAACTAAATTCCATAGATTCATTAATTTGCAAGAAAGTTTTGGAGCCCTGCTGGAATGGTAGAAAGCATCAGGGCTTTCATGCCCTTGGTAGAGCCGGACTCTGAGGGAGGGGAGGAACAGCCAACAGGGAGTGGAGGTGTGGCTCCAGAGGTTGTGGAGGAGGCTGGGGAAGGGCACAAGACAGCTGGGTACTCAAAGGAAGAACCAGGCCCATCCCCTCTCCATCCTAGGACACACAGGGAGGAACGGAGAAGAAAACAACTTGGCTTATGAGAGAGGAAGCGGCCATGATCCTCCTCATTGGTTGCAGCTGGGGAGACTAGTAAATAAGAGAGACGGTTAAAACACAGCATTGCCAGAAGCAAAGCATGTTTTATCTTGGGCTGAAGTTATCTTGGTTGGCGTCCTTCCAACAGACTGTGCCTTGTTATCTCCTTGAAGTTGGTAATTACTTATCCTAGTCCGTTGTGGAAATTTCATCATTGTAGTTTGTTTGGTTTTTTATTTCACCGCTATCTGCTCATTAAGTTCAGATGGTATTGCTTTCTTTTGAAGACTATTTTTGAGTAAGTTTTCTCTCCAACTGAGAATGATTGAACAGTGGGGCCAAGCTGGAGGCATTAAAGGACATTTATTTACATTTTGGATTTTGTTACGTTTGTGTTACACTCCGGGTCATCACAAGGTCTGGATTGGCCTTCTAGTATATGGTCCTTTTGTAAATGGCCAAGTCCGTCATAGAAACATTTTAGCGAACGCGTCCCTCAACAGATGGATGTCAATAATCCAGATACGCACCTGGTTCCAACAAGGTTGCCCACTAACTGCTGTTGGCCATCACCTTTAGGCCTGCATGTGTATGATATAAAGCAATTCCTGCAGAAGGTCCCTGGAGCTGTATGCATGCATGGCTGTAACGCAGCAACTCGTTGCAAAGGAGAGCCTTCAGTTGCTATAGGGAAGGGAAGAAGAAACCAACCATCTGGAAACCCGTTTTGCTATAGCTGTATGGAAACGACTCAGCTTGCTCTTAAGACCTTGTGGAAGGAGCAAACTTACAAGCGAGGCAGCTCGTAACTCCGCACATGTGCAAAAAAGCAGAGGTTGTGGAAGGGCGGGGGAGGGGAAGCCCCCTTATTTTGCTAGGGGAAAAGGAAACATAATGGTGACTTAGAAAGTGGCCCAGACATGCTGTCAGGTTCAATTCGGAGAAC